TTAGCTCTTCCTTCATTAACTTCCCTTAATGATTTTAATCAGAGCTATAACCTGCTGTCATATACATGCTTGTATTTAAGTGGTTTAAATCTAGGCTGTAATCTAATCGACTCACACATTTTGCAATGAAATGTTCAGTGAGGTGGAAGACACCTTCTGATCCTTTTCCCACCTACAGCCACAAAACATTAGAGAGGTCCTGGACCTACAGTAATCATGAATATTGTCTAATGGTCTTTGATTTAGAAATTCTGAATTTTCCTTGCTGCTTGGCAAAACCAGCAGAAAATGTACTATTTTAGTACCTGAAACAGTGTTTAAACAAAAGGCTAAAGTTTTCTCTGAAAGGATATCAGTGTTTTTTCTCTCATTTTGCACCTGGAATCTGCAAAGGCACACAGAGATTATCTCGCAAGTTCAGCAATGTAGAATGGCTGCAACAGAGTAATAATTACTAGCTACTCTGTGTTGGCATTGCGCAGCTCCAAAATAAGACAGAACACAAGACAGTGGTGAAGCAGGCACAAATTTGTCAGTTTCTTTGTGAAATTATATGTTTCTGTCCACCACTGCATTCATTCAGTCTATAACTTCTCTTTCTTTTTGTTCATATGATGGAGTGTAGTTTGTCCTTAGAACTACTCCTTTACCTTACAAAGGAATTGAACCAAAGTTTCGCTGGAGGATGTCACAGAAACAATTTTGAGCATTTCCTTCCCAGACTTACCGGGTAAGTGGCAGGAAAAGCAATGGAATTGTCAAAGGAATAGTTATGGCAAGAATGGGTTGGGTTTTTTTTCTCTTCTTTCTTTCCTGACCAGCAGGACATCACCTGCAGAGTGCATATTATTGCAGAGCCCAGTTTTGACTGCCAAGATTTTAAGTGACTTGTCACTTGAAATTACTCAGGCTTCCCCAATACTTAGTGGGGAGGGACAAGAATTTCTGCAAGACAGTTCGTCCGGTCTTAGATGCTTACCTTACCAGAATTGGTATCGCCCTCAAAGCATAACAATTTTGCTTTCATTGGCTATGGAGACAGACAGCAAACTCAACTGAAACACCCAGCTTTTAAGAGGGAAGGTTTGATGAGATGTGTCCCACCCATATTCCCATATTCCGAAATTCTATGTAATAAACAGCTTCTGGTCTGGCCTCAGAAATCCTTATTTACCTATGGATCAGTTGTTTGTCAAATAATAACCACTGCAACATTTCTACCAGAAGTTATACTTAAATTATGAGGGTTTTTTTTCCAGAGTTTAAGATGGCCCTAGGGGATCAAAGAGCAATAATACTCACACAGGTTGTTTAAATCTTTTTTGTGTGTTTTTTTAAGCACTGCCCAAACCCTCCTTAGTAGTTTACGCATGAAGTGATGCATCATTATTGTAATACAAGTATGTGATTGTATTCAAGCAGCCCAGCATTTTGAAATATATTTATTGGACTGTACTGGTCAAGAGCACTCTTCCTGTTCCCTTTACCAGCTCATGATTTCTAACCTTAGGATTTCAGTTGATTTTTCTTTTAGAATTTTGGTTTTCATTTATTTGTTTAAGTTTGCGTATCAGCTCCTTCAGTGCTGATGTTGTGTTAATTCACATTCCCTTCGGCGTCTGTAGCGCAAAGATCTGCAACATCTGCCTCTGTCCTCATGTTTCTAAAGCTTTTCCTAGGACTTTCCTAGTCTAACCATGAGCGGTCTACCTTTCTTGTATGTTTTAAACACATGCCAATCTTTCTAAAAATATTTATTTAACAAGTTGCCTGTAATCTAGCTAAGAAATTGTTCACCTTTGACTAACGAATTTACCTTTAAAATGAGAAGAAACCGTACAACTGGGTAGTCTGTGAGACAAGGCACAGGTCTGGATGATTTTAAAAAGTACTTTGCAATGTATCTTTTGATATTTTCCCCCTGAAACATGCAGGATGGTCATGTCCAAATCTTAATTCCAACTTCATATGAGTGTTCCTGATTTCACAAGAAAGACATTGTGTTTTGTATCAATTATACTTTATCTGGCATGTGTAAGGAAGGATGGAAAGAAAACCTTCATATGAAAGCAGATGGCAATTATGATTAGCATTTGAGCCACCATCATTATGTCAGCCAATAAAAGAAGAGGTAAATAAATGAAGCCAGCATAATTTCTCCTCTCATTCTAATGTATTTAATGGAATGTTACCAGGAATTAATCTCGACAATTAAGTGCTAAGATGAGAGAAATATTTCTTTTGTAATTTGCATTTCATGCAGCATGAGAATTTGAATCAACTAATAAACATAAATATTGAGCAAATGTGTTTCATCATTTTGAGGTGAACCATGTGTGATAAATGTGGGCTGGTGTTAATGGGAGTCTCAGGTTCTTCAGGCAGTTTGAGGAAATATATAAAAAGTCCCTCCTGAAAACTACCTTGTGTTTACTTCTCTTGCCACCTTCTTTCCAGAGCCAGCTATTTTCTAGATATCAAAAAGTAAATTTAAATTAGTCCTCTTTTGTCATTTATGAGGAGGCAACCTTACATGCAGGTTTTAAGGGCTAAATGGTATTTTCCACAACAGATTGTGTAGGATCTGTCAGCTCTCCACTAGTTCAAATCACAGGGTTGTAACCTACTAAACAGATACCGAAACCCCAGACTGTGATCTTACAAACTGCTGTGTGCTCCTGCAACACAAAGGCCTCAGATGCAGACAAGTGTAACTGAGGATATGTCCTCTTCATAGTTAATTACTTGGTTTTCCAGTTGCTGTTTCGAATTAGTTTGTATGGAAGGAAGCCAACGCTTGAAAGGGATGTAAGCAAAGTTTTCTCACTCACAGCAAAAAGAGCCTCCAGGGTGTTAGGAATCAGGTGAGCCTTTGGACAGTTCATTCAATAATGCATCAGGATTTTTACACTAAACTTTAGATGACGTGGAACTGATTTTTATCAGAGACAAGGTATAGGGTAAAAAAGCAACCATTTGTCTGAGGAAGCATGTGACCTTCTGTATTCCTGTGTTTCCACTAAGCAATGATTAATGATCTCTTAAAAAGCATTTTTTTTTTTTTTTTTTACAGGGCTTATACAAATTTGGGGAATTACATCCACACCAGCAAGTAGATCTTGGTGGAGTATCTACAATTAGGTGGCATGGATCTGAAACTAAATTAGTGTGGCGGAGGATCCAGACTGTTGTGCCTTTCCCATTTCCACAAGATCCAAGCTTTTCTTCCTGTTCCAGGGGAATTTGTGCTGTGTTACACTTACACTTAGTCATGTTTCCAGCTGGCCAATTCATGTCCATCACCAGCAGCTATAGCTGCAAGGAGTTGACTGCCCTGACCTGAGGGCAGCGGCTCAGGCACCATCATCGTCATCATCTTGCTAGCCCAGGTGCTTAGTTCCTTCCTTCAGGACAACATAGCGGGACTCTGTTAGCACCTGTACTTAAGGGCTCCCTTTGTTACAGGAGCTTTTGTTATGGTAGTCTTTACCACAACAGATTTTCTTACAGATTTTCAGGTCCTGGCAGCAAGTAGAACATCCCTTCTGGCTGTTGTTTTGATACTGGATACCACTGCGGAAGCTGCAGGTCTTGCTGGAAGAGCTATTCAATTTACCAGAGATTACTAAATAAAAACAAATAAATGGCAGATTTATAGCTGACTTTTTAGGTGACAGGTGCTGAGAAGGGTGCTGTACGCACTGTCCAGTGACAGAGAATGGATCTGGGCACGTGCAGCAACTCTTGCCTTTCTTTCTTCATACTCTGCTTTCAGTTTCTGATCAGATGTTCTCTGAACACTGTACATTATGCTTAGCCATACTTCTTACTGTATTAAAATATGTAGCCTAAGATCTTTTGGCAGCTGAATCACATAAAGAAAACTATTCTGCAAGATAAGCATCTGCTTGAATCAGGAGATGGTTACTTGCTTTACTGATAAGCTAAAAAATACGTCATATATGGTGCAGTGTTTTTGTTCGGTTTTAGGCTACCTATATAATATTTACACAAATTCTATTTATATTTAATATACATATAACTTCTTTAACAGAACCAAAGAAGCCTCAAACCCAGGAACTCAATCAGATATACTGTGAAATTATGTACATGGTCCTTACTGGGGTTTTGAAGAAGTCTGCTCACAGCCAGAATTTTGAAGAGTGAGATCATTTAATAGCATAGATCTAGGCCAGTCTGTGCAAGAGAAACACTGAATCTAGAATTCATTTAACATGAATGACAAATCTTCCATTAAGAGCCGTGGTGGTGAAACCACGTACATCATACACCACATACAATGTTGTATTTGTACAACATTGGAAGTCTGCAGTGGAATAAGCAAAAACTTAACTTACAGAGTATGAACTGTCACTTTTAGTTCAAAGAATTATCACACAAACTCATGAATAGGGAGTCTAATAAAGTAAGGTGTAGAGAAGGCTGCTGTTCATCTATGGCCAGCACATTGTGACCACGTTGTTGCAATCCCGTGGTGAAACAGGCCTGGCAAAGGCTCCTCCTGGAGACTTTCACTATGTGGGCAGGGTTTGCGCAATATTATTACAGCCATTTGTTCAACAGGCAGCTTTATCCAGAAAAGTTGGCAAGTTCAGAATGGATGAGAACACAAAACCACAAAACACTTATTTTCAATGATGCAACAGAATTTTAATGAGAGTGAAAAGAACAAAAATATATTGCGATATCAAGAATGTATATCCAAGATGTCAGAGTCAAATGCATTTTGAAAGACGCTGTTAAATGTCTCACTGCATTCAGTCACAAGTATGATAAAGTAGAAGATAACAAGGAATTGAACCCATGAAGGTATCAGGAAAAAATTCAAAGGAAAAAAAGGAGAGGTGCGGAGCGTGCAGAAGGCACTGCACTGAGCAGGATTTGTGAGTGCACTCACAAAGCTGTCACTCATCTTCTCACTGGTGAATCTGCATTTTGTTTTTCACTTGTACATTATTCAGTGGATTTTCCTGCTCTGTTTAGCAGGGTCCGCAGCTGCCACGACCGTACCAGTTGTTCCAGTAGGAGTAAGGGCTGCAATAGCTAGAACCATAGGATCTACCATAGCCGTACAGACCCCTGTAACCCAGGGAGCCCCCATAGCCGCACAGACCCCCGTAGCCCAGGGAGCCATAGCCCCCATAGCCGTACAGACCCCTGTAACCCAGGGAGCCATAGCCTCCATAGCCGTACAGACCCCCGTAGCCCAGGGAGCCATAGCCCCCATAGCCCCCAAGGACTGGTGCTCCGGAGGATCCCACAACCGAATCCTGGGGGAAGGAGCTGAGGATGGGTCCGGGAAAGGTGACGACGACTGGAGGTGGCTGGATCACAGTTGTGGAGTCAGGGCACTGACGGACACACGGCTCGTTGCAGCTGTCAGCAAGGGGCTGGGGCTGGTAGAAGCCGCAGGCAGAGGTGGAGCACAGGTCGTAGCAAGACATCTTGCAGGGATGGAGGTAAACTGCAACACACACTGATGAGTAAACGAAAGACACAAATTCAATGGGAATAAGAGTTTGAAAGTTGGACACGTGGACTAGAATAATGGCTTTATCTTTCAGGTCTTGATTGTCCTTCCATCCCTTCAATATTTTTCATGAGACATCTCTCCCTCCTGTAAATCAGCATTGCCCAAATTGCACACTGAGCAGTCATCTCTTCTATGGTCTCATCCCTAACTTCTTGTAGTCAGTTCCCTTTAAGAAGTAGTTCTTTGTTCTACCCCACTGCCAAACACTGCAAAAATATTATCCAGCACTTTACTTTGCAAATTACTTCCACTATACTTTGCAGCAACCCTTACAATATCTGTGTCTTAAAGGTCATTTTATGTTTGTTTTATACTAGCAAAACCAAAGCAGTGTAACCTGACAACCAGCAAAGCTCATGTGGTAAATTGATGGGTAGCTGGAAGAACAACTCTGGCATATTGACTTGTAACGTGCTTCCAGCAGCAACAGCTAAAATAATGCTGCCGGTATCCTGAACCTGCTATGTACATGGATTAAATCAGGCATTCCCTGCACTGAAGTGCTTGCAAAGTAGCCTGAGAGTCACAGGGTGGGTGAAAAGATTATTTGTCTGATTTCCCATATGGGAAACTGGTACACTCGGATAACTAGGGCTAGGTTTCTACTGCAGATAGATACGCTGGGATCTGAGCTCTTCAGAAAGATTGTCACCATAAGATCTGATCCAATCTAAAAGAAAACTCACGGAAGGACTAGGAATCAGTATCGCCTGTGCACAATTTTTTTCCCCACTAGAACCAATAAAATATTAGATTAAAAGAGACTTCTGGAGGTCATCTAGTCCAACTCCCTGCTCAAAGCAAGGACATTTTAAAGAGTAGGTTAGGATTTCCTATTTTCACCCCTGTTTTCCAACACTTCCTTATACAATACTTTTATATTCTTTCCGGTTAAGCCTGTCCCCTCAACAAATACATACATATACACAGACACATATCAAAAAGTTACTTGCAAAATCCTTAAAAAATTCCAAGTGATTGAGCAAGCCTTCTGCTGGTGTGTTGGAAGCTGCTTTGATAGCTCAAATTTTAGGAAACAACAATTTTTGGAAAACCTGGTTTTACCATTTTAATACATGGATGTCCAACACCAAATAAGAAAAATAAATTCATGGTGAAATAATTCAACATTATTCAAAATCTTATAATACTCACGGATGATTCTGACCTTAATTAAAACCAGTAGAAAAGAGTAACTTCAATTTTAGGAAAGAGATCACATAGAATGATACTTACCCTTTTCACAGAGGTGAATAAAGCAAGCAAAGTGGAATGAAGAGCCTTGAGTTGGGAGAGCTTTTATACAGTTCCCTAGATCATGGGGATCACCTAAGGTGCAATTTATGCATGTGCATAATTGGGGCAAACCCAAAAGTAATATGACACGTAGGTCCTCAAAGTTTTGCTGACTATTTGTTTATTTGTTGGTTCGAAGTCTCATGAAAGAGACTCTCGTGAAAGAAGCATCTTTCATCTCTAATGGTTACATGTCTTATTCATTCCTGTTATCATTCCATTCACATCCTTGGTGTTACAACAAGAATTACACTAATGCTCTTCCTTAGCTTCTCCATTATTAATGGCAAAACCCAACTGCTCATTGCGTGGTTGTGGTCATCTGATGTGCACAGATTTTTCCATTAAATCCAGACTGTAAGACACTTGGAGATAAAATGGAGTTCATCAGAGCAACTTTGGGGTCGTCATTTTTATCTTTATCATTTGCACTGTCAGCTACTTAACGTGAGACCAATACTGTACCCAAAGGAAGCCATAGAAAACATCCTGTGGTCCTTACATGGCTTTCTATTGTTTGGCTTTTGCTCCTGAACATGTCCATCTAATGAAGAAGGGACTTGGGAAAATAAGTCTTGCTTGCTTTGTTGTGCATTCAGCCATGGATTATTCTTCCTGTCCTTTTCTCAAACACTGGCAAGTCCTTTGGACCATTTTAAGCAGAAGGCAGAGATTGAACACCATTTTAAACTACTCAGATTTTTCTAACAGGAGTCTCTCACTGTATTTCAACTCAGATTAGAGTCTAGAGGCAAACCCTTTCTGTTCTCAAGATTGCAAAGTGCTTTCTTTGTGAGGCGTTTGACACCCACATTTTCCAATCTTCTGTCTCCTGATACAAAACCCTCAGGGATCCATCTTTAGTTCCATCTTCAGATCAGGCAATAGTGAAGGCTACTGAGAAAGGAAATTAAATTAAATGTGACTGGTGGCAACTTGCTAAAGCTATCTGGAGATACACCATGATAGAGACAGAGAAATCATTTACATGGATAAAAGCTGATCATTGATAGAATTGTAACATCTGGAGAAAATAATCAAATCTTCTGTTTCTGTGGTCTGATGTGCAACTGAAAATGATAAAACTACACTGATTATACAACTTATGAAATGCTGTATTCTATTTAAAATTTTATATTTCATTCTATGCTTCTACATTGGAAAATCCACAGTATTCAACCATGAACTGATTATACCAAGGACACAAATACCTTGACTTACATATTTTAATGCGATGTCATTCCATAATTGCTAGGCACCTAAATCCAGGTGCATGCCTTTAATCTAATTGTAAGAATGCATTCTCAAACCATTAGTGGATAGTTTGTGGCATTTGAAAAGACCAGATCCCTGGAAGCTTGAAAATATTGTCCAAAAAACTTCCAACCACCTCAAAGGCTGAGAAACCCACCTCATAATTTAGAGGTAATCTATGGCATAGAGTCTGCAATACGAAAATAACACATCTGTAAACAAGGGAAGAACCAGCCTTTGTTTTACGTGGTGCATACCAGGTTCATAATTGTTCCCTGTTCCCAGAAAATGCCGACTCAGCCCTGTTCTGGACTTATGGCTTGCAGCAATGATAGTGTACCACAGGAGGTCATGGATTCCTGGGAATCAGAGTCAACAATTCAAAGAACTTCTGTCACATTTCCATTTTTTGCTCCAGAGGATCCATTTCTACTGAAAAAGCTTAGGTTTCCTCAGGCTAATTAAATATTCTCAAGTACCATCTTTGTACTGACAACATTGAACCAGCAATACCTGGAAAAATTCTCTTTGGGATGTCCAATCCCTTTGTAGCATTAATTAACTTCAGAAACTCTTTCCTTGTTTATCTCCTACAACACAAAAGTAAGCAGCAGGAAGTTAAAGACTTTCTCTGTGTTTCTTATGTGAAATGCTGCAGACTCAGCCCTACACATTTTTGTAAGAGAATACAGCTCTTTGAGTGACAGATAGATGGAAAACTGATTCAGCTCATATCTGCATGAAAAGAGTTTATATTACTCCAAAATGAAGGATTTCACCATTTTTCTGCTCAAGGTTAAATTTCAATTTCCACATGAGCCTTATTTACAGACCGAATCACACGTTGCAGGTTCCTGGAGTTGCTGCTGCTTCTGAGATGCATTGTCTCCATTACAGCCAGTGTCAAATACCACTGGAAAACATCATTGACTCCAAAGGGTGCTGTGTCCCACAACTGTAGGTGGGGAAGTCAAACATGCAGAAACCACCCCCAAGCTTCCTGCATATCACATTAAGAGTCTTTAACTTTTGTTCTGGCAGGTTGTAATGTGAATTATATGTACTTAAACAAAAATCTTGTCCATGACAGCAGTTTGTAATTCTGATAAACCCATGAGACACTCTCCAGGTGTTAATATAAGAGGAGCTGGCTTAATAATTTCTGTTGTAATTTCAAGGAAGTGACTGGAATAATGCCAGGTATTAATTTTCCACAAGTCGTCACAAGATGAAAGAATTCTCTGTAGTCTAAAGTAATGTTTAGGTCCTTATTACAATGAAATTTGAAAGGACTCAATAACGAACACCGCAATTTCATCATCTTGATGGGTTGCACATGTTTGAAATTGGGGCGGGCAACCAATGTTGATCTTGTACATCCGGCTGCTCCAATATAAAATCTCTTCTCTCTCATAGCTCTTCCAAACACTTCCCTTGACTTCTCAGTGACTTGGGTAAGTCTGATTCTTCTCTATTGCTGTCAATGTATCTTTTTATTGCTGATTTCAACTTCAGCTGATGTCCATACTGTTGAGTGTATCTGCATTGCCTTTGGGCAGAGATTCTAATGTGGGCTCTGGGGTGGCAGATACACCTATTTGGTGTGTGGAGCCCTCTCAGTGTCAGAAACACTGGACCCTGGAGTGACTGGAGGATGCTCTTAGACATCTGGTTTAGTTTTAGGTAGTCCTGTGAGGAGCAGGGAGTTAGACTTGAAGATCCTTCTGGGTCCCTTCCTACTTGAGATATTCTATGATTCTATGATTCTTTCTTCAATGCATTTAACCCATTCCAAAGTTTGCATATGAGGTTCAACGTTTAATAAGGGCGTCGGCACTGCAGCCATTCATGCAACCTGAGATGAATGAGCAATGCATCTGAGAAAGTTGTGTGTGTTGTCCTGGTACAGCAAATCTTCTGGATTTCCTTTACTTTCTTGCTTTTGTATTCTTCCTCAGAGCCTTGCTAAGGACTTGCAGGACATAGTGAGTGGAGAAGAGTAAAATCACCCTTGAAGAAAATAACTAAGTTAAGAGGGGAGAATATAGACTGAATTTTTAGGTTTACTGAGGAGTCCTGGTTTGTCTTGGGAATAATAATTTCAAGCGAGTTTTTCAAAAGATGTTAGGCACTAAAACACTATTTATATTGAAATTTTCCAGGCGATATCTATACAGTGGCTTCATAGGTGGGAATTGGCATAATAACGCTACCATCAGTCCTTTATTGTCTTGTCAAATGACTTTCTGAGCAATCCAGGCAGTGACAATCCTATAATCTGTTGTTCCTACAACTCTTAGCAAAATTGGTATGAGTGGGAAGAAGAAGCTACTGTAATTAAGTTGTATATAAACTACATCTCATGTAAACCTG